GTTTCATGGATTGCAATAATTTCAAAATGATTTAAAGATGTAGCTGTCAATGATTGCTTCGTAGATTCTATTAAATAGTCGTTTCTCCGCATGTAAACACATAACCTGTTTGTTATTTAGCTTTATGTAGGTCAGATAGATAACATGCACCTGCATATCCCACTAAAGTAGCTCTCGACTTTTGATAATAAAATAATCCTAAATCAATAGTATCTTTTAAGTAACGAAAAATATGTTTAACACCATTCCAATGTCTTTGAATTGGTGAAGATCTATATCTTGTAAGGAGATTTATAGAAAAAACTATTTTGGGTCGAGTGCAATTTGTAAAATAAGCGAATGCTCCAATTGTACTAAGATATGGTACTTTAGGATCAAGAACCTTTTCTCCATCTTCAAGTGGACGAAATGGATCCCTTTTCACACAAGTGATTGAACAATCATAGGTGATGCCAATGGATGTGCATTATCCATATAAAAACTTTTTAAAACTTTTTCTATATACGTAGATCGGTGAACAAATAATTCATTTGTGAAATGTTCAATTTGCATTTCGAGACAAAATTTGATTTTTCCCAAATCCTTCATTTCAAATTCATTTTTCAAATAATCAAAAGTTTTGTGAGCTTTTCAAAAGTTCAAATTAAATTTAAATTATCAACATAAACTACCACAATTATAAATCTAATATTTATTTTCTTTATAAAAACACATGGGCAGACATCATAATTTTTATAACCCTTCTTCAACAAATATTCGTTAAGGCGATTACACCATATGCGTCCAGATTGTTTTAATTCATATAATGATCTTTGCAATTTAATTTAGAACATGGTTCTCGAGCATGTGTCGTTTGTTCTCGGCACTTTAAGTCCTTTACGGACTTTCATATATATATGTCATTACCAAGTGAACCATACAGATATGCAGTTACTATATCTATAAGACATATATCAAGCTTTTGTGACACGGTCAAACTAATTAAAAATCTAAAAGTGATAGTGTCCATTACGAGATAATATATTTCCTCATAATTAATTCCTAGTTTTTGTGAGAAATCTTGAGCTACTAGTCGGACTTTGTACTTTCATTATTTTCATTTCTCTTTCGTACAAAAACTCATTTGTATTCTACAAGGATTACATCTTCTAATATTCTAACAACAGATCCAAACACTTTTCATTTCTTTGAAGAATTCAATTTCGCCTATATGACTTCTTTCTATTTTGGTCAATTATTTCTGTTTTGACAGTCTTTAATTGACTGTGGTTTAGGATCTTTATTTTGCATAATATCAAAAGCCACATAAAAATGAAAATATTGTCTATAACAATATTATTTCGTTCCCGTAATGTATAAGATAACATATAACTTATTGAAATCTCATTATTTTCGAACACTTGTAGTTCTTTAAGAACCATATTTTCAATATTTGATTAATCAATCTTTTCTAATATGACTTCTTTCAAAGCTTTTTTGTTAGTTTTTCTCTTGTACTTTTTTTGAGTTACAAAGTCTTTTGAACCAACAGGTCGACCACATTTCTAGCGTATTTGAGATTCATTTGCTACAGCAAATTGTCCTACAGAGACATCAATTTTTGCTAGAATATATGACTTTGTCACCTTTCTTGTGTCAACAAATATATTAGGAAATTGATTTGCAACTCTTTGCAAATGAATGATTTTTTCAACTTTTTGCTCACATTAATTGTTGCGGGGATCAAAGTGAGATATAGTTGTTTCATTTCAAGTAATTTTACCTTATTTTTTAGGATATAGTTTTTTCCCTCCCAAAGTTGGGAAAATCATTTTATCAAAATAACGATTTACTAGACGTGCAGTAAATAAAGCACCCGTTAAAGATTCAAGAAATCTAATAATTGATGGAGAATCAAAACCCGCATAAATCTCAAATTTTCGTTGGTGATCCATTTTAATACATTGTGGGTGGTGAAATAGGGGCTTGGACAGTACAACCAAAAATTCATAAATGAGAAATATCAAGTTCATGACCAAATGCAAGTTATTAAGGTAAATATTGATAATGAGCATTTGGTCTTGTACAAACCAATAATGCAGCATGTAATATAGCATGACTCCAAACAAAAGTTGGGAATTTTGTTTTCATAAGTAATGGTCTAGCAATAAGTTGTAGATGTTTAATAAACGACTCCACTAAACCATTTTGTGCATGTACATGTGCAATTGAATGTTCAATTACAATTTCAATTGACATAAAATAATCACTGAATGCTTGTGATCTAAATTTACCAGTATTGTCAAGAAGAATAGTCTTAATTGAATAAACGAAAAATTGTGCTTGTAATTTTATGATTTGAATAAGTGGTCTAGCAAATGCTACATTTATAGTGGAAAGTAGGGAAACATGTGACCATCTAGTAGAAGAATCAATTAATACCATAAAATAACGAAATGATCCAAATGTATTGGCCCAAATATATCTCCATGAATTCTTTCCAAAAAAATTGAAAATTTAATATTGACTTTGTAGGCGAATGTCTAATGACTAGCTTGCTTTACGAACAAGCTACACATGGATAATCATTAAATAAAATATCTTCTAATTCTTTAAAGAATATCTATGTGAGTTGTTTATTATTCGGCACATCATTACAGCTCCTCGATGTCCAAGCCGATCACGTCAAAGTATAAAATTTTTTTGGTTAACAAACTTTTGATTTGTGATATTATTTGATCCAACCATTTTATAAATGTATAATACATGCCAGATAGAAGTGCATGAAATTTTTCTTTTATCTGCTTCTTGCCAGATATAAAAGAAATTATGCAAAAATATTCAACATTATTTTCTTACAATGTCTCAATACGATATCCATTGTAGCGGATATCTTTAAAACAAATTTAGAGTTGTAGCTGATATCTTTAAAACAAATTTATTCTAAATTTGTTAGAATAAATTTTATCATCAATATATAATTTTGTATTATTTGATCAAATAATACAAGCTTTTTTGGAGCGTTCCACGATATTCGATGCACCCGAGATCTTATTAACATTATTTTTTGTTAATGTTAAATCCAAAAAATATATATTTTTAAAAAATAGTGTACATAGTTGTACTATCAACTAAATAGATATATTGACAATTCATCTCGAATTTTGTGATGTTTACCTTTTGAGTAACTTCACAATAAACTAAAATATAATTAATTTCGAATACTATGATTAAAGAACTTTGCTATAGGTACAGGGATTTAAATCTCCGTACCTATCGAACACTCACATTCAAAGGCGGGAAATTTTTTTTTCAATATTTTATACACGGGCCCACTCTCATGTGAGTGAGAATTCAAAAAATTTGGCAAAAATTTTCTGTACTTGAAGAATTTTTGATGATTAAAATATTTTATAATCAAATAACAATAAATCAAGTAGACAGACCAATTAATGTCAATATGATATGGGTTATATATTTTCTTTCAGGGATAAATATGAATTCAAAATGATGTATTTTTAGAAACATGTGCTACTTCGAGAGATGTTATTATTTATTATTGTTTCTTCAAGAGCAATAGATCAATATTCTTTTAAAATATTGAAATTGTAATATCATAATCTTCTGGAGTAATTAATATTCTTTTAGAATATTTATTATAATGCTGTGCGACTTCAAGAGCAACAAAATATTTGTAATAAACAGTTCTAAGATTAACTTATTTCTACAGTATTGGAATCGAAGTGTTATGCTTTTAGGAGCAATAACGTATTATTGTTTAAAATAATAAATTATATATTTACTCTTGAAGAGTAAAAACATAATTTATATTAGAATTTATTGAATTATACTCTTCAGAATCAAGTTAAATCCAACTAGAATATTAATAATAATGTGCTACTTCATGGCAACAATTTTTATGATAGATAGATATAGAATATCAAATTTATAAATCATACTTGTATTTAAAAAAAATAAGAACGAGATAATTAGTCCAACGATAAACAATAAACATATATAATAGCATGTAATAAATAAATATACCAAACCATGCCAATTTCGTGTTTTGTTCCATAGCTTTATGGCCTCGTGCTTAGGCCATCTCCAACCCAGCACCAAATTTTGCACCATTTTGCACCAAAATTTGCACCAAATCTTGCACCAAACTAAAATTCATCTCCAACCATTACACAAAAAATTACACCAAATGAACAGTATTTAACCATTTTCTTCCCTTTTTTTATTTTTTGTAATCTACTTATTTGAAATATTATTTATTTAATTATTTCAGAAATACATAAATTACTAAATAAATAATTACGTTAAATTACGAAAACGATTAAATTCATTAATAAATATAAAAAATATAGAACAATTAATAAAAATACTACAACAACGAAAATATGAAATAATGCCATTAGAAAATAGTACAATACATTTCGAATTTGGATAGACGACATTACGAAGTCGCTAAATTTTTTTTAATTTAATTATCAGAATTCATATGTCCATCCCACAAATGATCGATTAATGCATTTCGAAGTGCAATGTGAGTTTTTTCTGATTTGTTTGGAAATTATTTTGGCGATTTTGGAGGATCTGGAAGTGATCTTCCAGATTATTGAACTATGCACTTTTTTATGTATCTTTTAAAAAAAAAAAAATTATCGTATGTATGTTGCTCTATTTAATATATTTCGTGTTAACTTTAATAAATAATCGTGTTTGATGTATTTTAAATTGTTTTCATCTTTTAATTAATTAATTATCATGTCTTACATTTAAAATTTATTTTAAACACAAATAATATTAATATTAATAAAAATAATAATAATTTATTGTATTAAAAAATATATAGCACAAATTACATAAATACCCTCAACAAATTTATTTGGGAAATGTAAAATAAGGGCAAAATGGGCATTTTACACTTTGCACCAAAATGATGCAAAGTTTGGTATTGGGGTGGAGCAATTTTGCACCAAAAAATGATGTAAAATGGTGCTAGGAGAATGCTTGTTTTCAGGGAAGGAAAGAGTGTCAATGGAGGAAGTGCCGATCGAGCAGCAGCCAGGGGATTCGAAGGCATTGAAGAAGAAGACAACGAAAGCTGAGAGGCGGGCTCTTCAAGAGGCTCAACGAGCTGCTAAACGTGAATACCTTTTACTTGCTTTTCAATTTTTGGAAATTTTACTAGTGTTAAATTTGTGTTTCTGTTGGGACTTGATTTTAGGTGAAAATTAGCTTATAGTTAGTTGTCCTGAGTCACTAGCCTTAATTTTGTTGTTGTCATTTTTTTTGTTGTTAGTTTGCTAGTTTACATTTTGAAGGCCACGACATCTCTATGGCATGCCGCATGCACAATTAATAGTCGTGATGCATAAGACAAATAGATGACTTTTAAGAAGGTCAAGTTTTTTATCAATGTGATGGAAAAAAGGTTGATTTATATCACTATAGGAGATTATTACTTTTAGATTTAATCTTCACTGAAGGGTATTCTAGTTACTAATTTCTAGTGAAGAGCTTTTCATTCTTGGAATCTATGTTGTCTATAATTGTTCTGCAAAGAACTAAGTGACATAAAGTAATTCTGATTAAAAATCGGAATATTTTTTTATTAATCCTTTATCCACATGAAATGTACTTTGAACGATTCTCTCTTGCTTTATTTTGTGCTGCTGTGTATCGAGCCATCAATTCGTAGCAGATTCTCCTGGACTTAAGTGAATTTGACACTTGTCGAGTGTTAGAAATATTATCTGGCATTAAAAATACACTTAAAACCTCTTTTCTGCGTAATGATATTATTAGTAAATTGAAGTGAAAAAATGATGCTGATTAGTGAACCTCAAATGGTTTTACTGTTCATGAATACTTGTGATAATTGAGCAGCTAATGACGGGGTTTCAATATTGCTCATCTGTCAGGACTAAGAGCCATTGCTGTTCAGAATGATCAAGCGCTAGTGTACTAATAGGTCTTCATTTAGCAAATTGCTTCATAGTTTTTGGGATGTTTGTTGTTGCTGGAAAATTTCTTTCTTTTTTGGTAGCAATGATATAGACCAATTTTGATCTCATTTGCAGGTTTAACTGTTTTATGATCTCTCCATACATGTGCAAAACACTGTTCTGCTTCTTTGCTGACATATAATGTATCTTTAACCCTGCAAGTCGATTGTGCTCTTGAAACAATGATTTGAAGAAAATCTGCAAGTCACTTCTATTGCTTATATAAATTTATGAAATTTGTGATTTGCTTTGCAATTTGGGGATTTAAGAAATTTGTCATATCTTCATCATTTTGTTTTTCTTTCTTCTAGTTATGCTATAAATAATTGCAAAATGTTATGGCTGAAGGCTGCTTTTGCTACTTGGTCCTCAACCTCAAGCACCTTGTGTGCAAAAACCTTTCTTTGTCAATCTTCTTTTTCTTGGTCTATTTTTCATGATAACTAATATTAATATGTTATGTCAAGGCATCTATTGCATGTATAGGTGAGTTTTCATTTTCTTAGAATTGCATATTTATCCACATTTTGTAAAGTGACTATATATAATGGTCTGTTTCTCTGCTGAATGATGTATTTATCCAGCGGAAGGAAGTAAGACACAGGCTGCTGCTTCTGGGGTCAATGCTGTAAATGCCAATCCAGGAAAGGTTCCAAAGGTGACTCCGTCAAAGAAAGACAGCTCTTCTGTTGCAGCTTCTGAGAAAAGAGGCAGCGATCGTCAACCAGATAAAGATAGGAAGAAAGATGTCCCTCATCCACGGATGCAGTTTGACGATGAAAACCGAGTTGAGAAGGCAAAAAAGCGATCTGTCATGAAACGAACTGAAGCCAGGAGCAGAGTTGAACTATTTAGGCATCTACCTCAGTATGAACATGGAACAAGGCTTCCTGACCTTGAATCGAGGTTCTTCCAACTCGATCCTATTCATCCTGCTGTTTACAAGGTAGCTCCTAGAGACAATTTTTTCTTCTCTCTCGATATTTTCTCTTAATGTTGAATCCGTAACATAAAGGAGTAATAATCATCAATTTTAGACCTTTTATCATGGAAAATTTTATTCGTGCTCATGCTGTCTGGTTATGTTTGGGGATCAATATGTTTTATGTTTATGGGGTTGAAAGCTTTTTCTCTTAAATCAAATAAAAAAATAACAATATTAGTATACCTTTTATTATGTGATATTTATCCATATTGTGAATTCATATTTTTTGTCAGGTTGGGGCAAGATATTTAGCTGGGGATATCTCTGGTGGAAATGCACGCTGTATTGCGATGCTTCAAGCATTCCAAGAGTCAATTAGAGACTACTCAACACCACCAGAGAAGTCCCTTATTAGGGACTTGACCACAAAAATAAATGGTTATGTCTCATTTCTGATCGAATGCAGACCCCTTTCGATCAGCATGGGGAATGCAATTAGGTTTCTTAAAACTCGGATTAACAAATTAGCTTTAAACCTATCTGAATCAGAGGCAAAAGCCAGTATTCTCTTGGACATTGATCGTTTTATAAATGAGAAGATCATTCTAGCAGATAAGGTAATAGTGAAGCATGCTGTCACAAAAATTAGGGATGGTGATGTTCTTCTAACTTACGGATCATCATCTGCCGTTGAAATGATATTATTGCATGCCCACGAGCTTGGCAAACAATTTCAAGTTGTGATAGTGGATTCACGCCCAAAGCTTGAAGGACAGATGTTGCTTCGCAGGCTGGTGAGGCAGGGTATAAGTTGTACATACACTCATATAAATGCTGTTTCTTATGTCATGCTTGAAGTGACAAGAGTATTGTTGGGTGCTTCATCGGTGTTGTCCAATGGCACCGTTTACTCAAGAGTGGGAACTGCGAGTGTTGCTATGGTTGCCCATCAGTTCCGCATTCCTGTCTTGATTTGTTGTGAAGCATACAAGTTTCATGAGAGGGTTCAACTTGATTCAATTTGCTCTAATGAACTTGGTATGAATTTCCAGTTAAATTCTTCAATTTTCTGCATTAACATTGCAGCACAGTAGTTTATGACTTCTGAGGTTGCAATGTGCAGGTGACCCTGATGCTATTGCAAGGGTTTCCGGGAGAACTGAGATCAATTATTTGGAGGGTTGGACCAATAGTGAGAATCTCCAACTCTTGAACCTGATGTAAGTGGGATTCTGTTATTGACATGTGATATTTAGATTACACCCACTGACTCTGTCTTACTCTGGTACACTTTCTTGATATTTCATAATGCCAGTTATGATGCTACTCCTTCAGAATATGTTTCTATGATCATCACAGACTATGGCATGGTAAGTCAGAACGTGATTTATTGATATATAAATTTAACTCGGAGTTACTTTCGTCTGCGCCTGAAGGTTGTTAAGTAAATTATGATTGTGATAATCATGGCAATTTCATGATTTTGAGCATTTTGGCTAATAAGCTTAAAAGTTACTTTTTAGTTACTTTTTTGCCCTGTTTGAGCTTTTTAACAAGTCTCTATTATTTGGGATTTTTAGTTCAAAAACAAACTTTTTAAAGTCCTTACTTTCCAAAAATGTGCTTTTACCTTTTTAAAGTTTACGTTTAACTAAAAAATGCATGCATGACTAGAGCTGTTTATGTATGCATCACAGGGGCAGTCACTGCTGCCTTTGTCGTTGCTTTCATTGGGTATGGCTGGTTTGATAAATAATGACTGTGGTACTCTCCGTTGGAATGGCTGGATGTATTGCTGCCGAGTCTCTCATATGCAGATATTTTTCTCTTTCATATTTCGTCGCCTTCGTGAACCTAAAATAATAATGATAGTTTCCCGCTCCTATCTTTTTACCTGAATTTGCTAGTTAGCTCATCATCACTTTTTTCCATTTTTATGTTCATTTATTACGTTTCCTGTGATGCATCAAGATCCCACCGACAAGTGTTCCAGTTATCGTTCGAGAATACCAGAGAGAGCATTTATGGACATAGAGACGTGCAGTGCGACTTCTTCCAAACGTGGAAGCAATTTTGTGGCCCATGCAGGAACATAACATTATTTAATCTTCATTGGATCATCTTTGGGAATAAGGTTTTGTGTCTCATTAATGCATTTTCTGTTTTTGTTTACAAATTTTCGCCTGATTCTGAAGAGAGCGAATTTTCCGCCTCTCGGAGCAGCTTTTAAGATGTATTTTGGGTTGTGACTAGCTATGGAGATTGTTTTCATCTTCTATGAACGTTTTTTTTAGAGAAAGTTTTGAATCGTTAGCCTTTGTGACCAGACATAGATCCTGTTTGACGCTCATTATTTGAAAAATTAAAGAGTTTTGAATAGTATTGAATGTGTGACTAAAACAAGAAAATTTTATTGGTTTGTGCGTAGAATATGTTATTATGTGAATGTGTAGTGATATTGTAGCAAACAATTTAAAATTTTAAAGGTTGTCAAACATGGGCATAATATTATTGAGAGAAATTTATAAATAATATTATGGAGAGAAATTTATAGATTTGGCATATAGTAAGTAGGACCCATTAGAAAATAAACAACTTGCAAAAATACCCTTAGAATTAGTGGTGTCTTGAAAAATCATATGAAAATTTTTTTGGAAGTAAAAAATACTGTGTAAAATTAAAAAGTTACTTTATGTCACTTTTTTATAAGTCACTTTTTCCACAATTCAGAAAAAAGTGACAAAACTCAAGAAATTGACAAAATTATAAGTCACTTTTTCCACAATTCAGAAAAAAGTGACAAAACTCAAGAAATTGACAAAATTTAAAAAAAGTGGCGCAAATTGAATTTTTTTTTTTTTAATGAAAAAAGGGACACAAGCTCAAAAAAAAGCAAGCACCATAATAATACCATTCATTTGTGCAGCATTAATAATAATGTTCTTAACATATTCAATATGTCTCGGACAATTCATATGCTGATTATGTTAGGAAAATATTACATATCATGTCAAATTTTTAAGAATATAAAAAAGTAACAGATTCAAAACAGTGACAATTAAAAAAAAAAAGTTTTTAAAAAAAAATAGTGTAAAATTAAAGAGTAATACAATGTCACGTTTTTTTTTTTTTTTTAATAAAAATTGTCAAATTTTTACACAATTCAAAGAAAGTGACTCAAAAAAGTGACAAAATTTAAAAAAAGTGATACAAGCTCAGAAAAAGAGACAAACACCAAAATAGCACCATCCGTTCGTGTAGCACAACAATCATATTTTTAACATATTTAGCATGTCCAAGACAGCTCCACTACCCACTAGTGAATTTAAAAAAAAGCAAAGATAAAGCATAGCAAGATCCATCGACCAAAGCACAAAAATATTTTACGCATTATCCGGCTTTGGTGCTTCCTTGGTCTCCTCTGAGCCATCATCCTGCATGTCTGAAGTCCATAAAAAAAAAAATAGTGTAAAATTAAAGAGTAATACAATGTCACGTTTTTTTTTTTTTTTTAATAAAAATTGTCAAATTTTTACACAATTCAAAGAAAGTGACTCAAAAAAGTGACAAAATTTAAAAAAAGTGATACAAGCTCAGAAAAAGAGACAAACACCAAAATAGCACCATCTGTTCGTGTAGCACAACAATCATATTTTTAACATATTCAGCATGTCCAAGACAGCTCCACTACCCACTAGTGAATTTAAAAAAAAGCAAAGATAAAGCATAGCAAGATCCATCGACCAAAGCACAAAAATATTTTACGCATTATCCGGCTTTGGTGCTTCCTTGGTCTCCTCTGAGCCATCATCCTGCATGTCTGAAGTCCATAAAGTGAGGTTATCGCGAAGAAGCTGCATTATTAGAGTGCTGTCCTTGTACGACTCTTCCCTAAGAGAGTCCAATTCCACAATTGCATCAACAAAGCCTGTTGAGTGCCAACCCAAGTCGGATTGGATATGTTGGAGCAAGCTTTGTATTTGCAATGTCCTGAGCTGCCTTGTAAGTCGAGAGAGTGCTCTCGGCAACTTCTTTCCTCTCCACCCCAGTCTTGAACCACTACCCACTAGTGAATTTAAAAAAAAAAAAGCAAAGATAAAGCATAGCAAGATCCATCGACCAAAGCACAAAAATATTTTACGCATTATCCGGCTTTGGTGCTTCCTTGGTCTCCTCTGAGCCATCATCCTGCATGTCTGAAGTCCATAAAGTGAGGTTATCGCGAAGAAGCTGCATTATTAGAGTGCTGTCCTTGTACGACAATTGCATCAACGAAGCCTGTTGAGTGCCAACCCAAGTCGGATTGGATATGTTGGAGCAAGCTCTGTATTTGCAATGTCCTGAGCTGCCTTGTAAGTCGAGAGAGTGCTCTCGGCAACTTCTTTCCTCTCCACCCCAGTCTTGAACTCTGCTAAATTAACAATAACAATTGCCCTTCTTTTTCAGATAAAACACCTTAGAGTCCCCAGAGGAAGCCGATCCAATGAGCATGGAATCAAGGAGTTTCAAAATGCCATCGCAAATTGAGGATATTGTTGAAGGTAGTGCTCTAAAAACCTCGTCCCAGAGTTTTGGAAGTTATACCAAAACCTTTATTCTGGATACGGAAATGATGATTCAAAGGGTATTTCTGCAAAAACAAAATAGTCAGATCTCTCCAAAATGATCATTTAGTTTTTAAGACAAATCCACACTTCTTCCAAGTTGCTCTACAGCGGTGCCTGTCAACTATTAACTATATAATATTGAATTAAATTGACTAAAGTTGCTCTAATATCTGTATTTTTGGTTGTAATCTAAATGAACGAGATTCTGTAACTATTTAGGCTAGCAGCTTTCAGCCTAAGCTGTTGATACAATCAAATATGCAAATTATTACCTTCGGACTTTTAGGTACGACACTGGTTGGCTGTCCGTGATGCAAATAGTAATGGGTTGCATCGTACATTACATAACCTAGTATATCACCTCCAAACACAGCAGGAGTGATAGACGGGGTAGACATGAATTTTACCAAGTTCCAGAACTGCAATTTGCATTACAGAAGAGAATTAAAGCAAAAAGAAGTACAAAAACTCATGAATTTTGTTTGAGGGATAGATCATATAGGTACAGAAAGAATAGCAGTGGCGGCGGGAGAGAAAATGAGGCGTTGGCCATCCATTAGGTGCTTATCATGACAACCGTGATCCTCCAAGAGGCACGGCAAGCGCCGATCACGTTCTTGTATGCTACCGAGAGGAGATTGCGCTCCTCCACAGTGAGCTCGTTGCCTTCCACTGCAGTCACCACCTTCTCCATGTACTCCACCATCTCTTGATAACGCTCGATTTGCTTTGCTATGTACACATTTTCCTTGCAGTTGGAGGCCATTGATTTCAACAAGAGAATGCGACTACTCAAGTGTCTGCAACAGAGGTTTGTTTGTGATTCAGGGGTTTTCTTTTGGGTTTTGAACGTAATTAATATGGTCATAATAGTTTTAAATTAGTTTTAAGGCATTAATCAAATATTTAATTTTTTTAGGGTATGCACCTAATTTTCCCTTAGAAAATTAATTCTTATGAAAGTTTTCAACTACTTTCAACACAATTTTGATTGCGACTGTAGAATAGAAAGAGAATTTATTTATGGGTATTGCATCATTACGATAAGGACATTAGCTTTTGTTTGATGGTTGATTAAAATCAAATTTTTAGTGAATTTTGATAGAAATTGATGAAATATCTGATTGAAAAGTTGTAGAATTCATAAAATATATGATTAAAATGAATTGTTAATTTTGACTTAAACTAAAATTTAAATTTCACTGGTACCAAATAATATTAAATTTGTTAAGTTATTGAACTAAGGTAGTGTTTGATAGCCATTAAAATTCCATGAAAAATGGAATTTCAATTCAATCTTCCACTTTAACGGACCTCCTTTTTTTTTTATTCTTTTTTCCTTTTTTTTTTTTACCTAGAATTTAATTTCCATCCTTGGTGTCACATAAGCCATTTTCCATGAATTCAAGGAATTGCAATTCTCACAAGTCGATGGGAATTGCAATTCACAGTTACTGTAGCATTTTTTAAATTTTTTTTTGATTGATTTTTTTTTTTGGACAGTGGAAATAAATTCTAAGAATTATTGTAAAAAAAATATTTTTTTAATTGATAATTTTCATATAAAATAAGGCCAAACGAATATTAAAAGATAAATGATTTTTTTGATTTTTTTGTTTTGTTTTGGTAATGGGAATAAATTTCATCTCCAATACCAGTAAATTCTATCCCTTTAATTGACAAATTTCATGTGAAACAAAGCAAAACAAACACCAAAAATACTTTTATTTCAACATTTTCTACGTGAAAAATATACCAATCAAACACAATAATTTACAATTTTCAGGAAAACAATTTCTAAGTTATTCAATTTCTTGGAATTCGTTTTCTAGATAATTCAATTCTATCTTTGCAATCAAACGGACCATAAGTGATTATAAGACAAAAGCTGATGCAAGCATATTGTTATGGAAATTATATTTATTTATATTATCATATATAGCTGAAAAATCAGAGCATCTCCATTGCTTCAGTATATTGTCAAAAACAAATTCTACTTGTACAGAACGTTTAAAAAAAAAAAATAGAAAAAAACTTTCTTATTGAACGTATTTTATCAAGTCGATGTGATAAAGATAAAAGATACGCTGCAAATAGAAAAAAATTGTTGGTAGTTTCTTTATACATGTTAAAAATCAAAAGCAAATAATTTTGATCATTAATACCGTAAAAACACTCCCATTGAAATCAATTGATTAAGATCATGTGCATAAGGTGACATTTTGTCACATTTTCACTTCCGATATATGCTAATAATTAACTCAAGAAAATTACAATTAGAGGCATCTAACATTAACAAAAAGTACAAATAAATCCTAAATCTTTACATTTTCATTATTATCGTTCAAAATCTTTAAGCAAATATGTAGCACGACAACATGTAAACAATTAACATTTACCCCCGGTTTGATAGGAGAGAATAAAATCAAAATCTTAGTATATATTGATAAAAATTGATGAAATATGGTTAAAAAATTGAGAGGCCTTGTCTGCTGCAGCTTCTAAACCCAAAAAAGAATCATTTTTTCTACCGTTTTTGGTCAATTGGTACCAGCACGTACGAGTGGCAGTCAAAAACGACAACTACCGATGATGAAAAAAATCACTTTTTTGTCCAAAAAATCGACTCCAGACAATGGCTGAATTTCATTAAAATATGTGATTAAAATTAATTGCTAATGTTGACTTAGATTAAAATCTACATAC